GATCAAATAACTTGAGTAATTCAATCATTAGCACTGCTGCCAGTCACTTCTATCCTTATTCTAGGTGCCGAGATCGAGATCGAACGTTTGAAATTATTTGAAGCTTCGACCGTCGTTTGCAGCTATACAGAAAAAAATTTAATTTTGTCATGACGAAGGGGTAAACATGATAAAGCTCGGCTGCACACTAACAAATCTAATGAATATCTTTTCACATCAGTCAACCGGCTACAAAAATTGTACCCTCTTCTCTTGCTTGAAAAAATACAGGCAGATATGACCGGTGGTCCCTCAATTGTTTTCACAAGAAAAGCAGCAGCAAACGAGACATTTATGAGAAAACGAACAACTTGTTAGCACATTGATGCCAGTCAAATCGATCATTATTCTAAGTGTCAGGATATGCCCACAGGCTTGTATATGAGATGGGACAACAATAAAGAAACAAAAAAGTTCAAGCCAAGGTAAAATCGGGATCAGGCGCTGAAAAACATGATCATGACATATTTTCGAGCAACCAGACCTGAATGTAAAAAGCAAAACTACTACACTGTAGGAACAAAGAAAAAAAAATGTTGCTTCATTGTTGATGGTTCTTACAACAATGTAAGACTGTATTTGAAGCAATGGGATGTTATTTCCATTTTGCCCTTGTCAAGAAGCTATACATAGCCTAATTGATGATGATATCAAACGAGGCACCAAGAAAAGAGAAACGGATGAGCTTCGAAAACATTACCTTTGAGAAAAAGGATACTTCATAGAATAAATGTGGGGTTGTAGTTGGTGGGATTAATTTAAAAACAACGTAGAATGAAAAATTACATTAGAACTCACTTTGCCCTCCAAAGACATTTTTCTTCCAATTCACTACTGCAAAACAGTGCCAGTTAGAAATGAAACAAGGTTCAGCTACGTGCAGTGAGATCTGAGTGTTCCAGATGAACTAAGACCAAATTTCTGCAGTTTCCAGCCTAGTTTCAAAAACATTGATCTTACCAAAAACGATTATGGGGAATACTTGAAAACATATGCGGAAGAAAACAATTTGTTAAAACAACAGCAACGAATGTTGATATCGAGCTTCAATTTGACCAACGAAAAGTTTATAACACCACCTTGCCACTTCTAATTGGATCAGTGTACAAAGTTTTGCCGATTTGCACAATACACTTCGCGTAAGGTGTTCAACGGTTTCGTTCAGTCTGTTGTTGATGCTAGGTCAGCCGGTGATGAAAACCCATTATCTGATGTGGAATCCGAATTAATGAAAATGCTAGGAAATAGTTCCTCTGGCTATCAAATAATAGACAGATCGAAACATACAATGAAGAATTACCTTGCAGACGAAAAAACCATAAAGCTATCAATTACCAGTTCTTCAAGATAACTAATAGCGTAGCTAAAGATTTGTATGAAGTGGAACTTGTTAAATCTACTATATAGCATCGTGAACCAATTTTAGTAGCTTTCTTTATGCTACAGTACGGCAAATTGAGAATGCTGCCAGCTGTTTTATAATTTTTTGATCAATTTTGCGACGTCAACAAATTTGAAGAACTCGAAAATGATACAGATTCCCTTTATTTGGCTTCGGCAGAAGAAGATTCAGATGAAGGTATCCTTCCCAGCAAGCGAGCAGTACGGACTGAGTATTTCGGAAAGACTGACGATTGCAAGGACTGACGATTTCAGAGCAGATGCGAAAAACAACTTTTTTTCCGTACTTGCTGCTCTGAACATACGAAAGAATACAATAGAGAACCAGGATTGAACAAGGAGCAGTTCAGATGCAAAGAAATATTGTGCATGTGTACTAAAACATTTTTCTGATACGATAGCGAGACTCAAAAGTATAAATTTAGCACTAAACGACTCAACAAAACAGCATTAGGAGACTCTGGAGATGGCCCCATGGCAAAACATCGACAAGTACTGGATGAGGCATTGAGTTTGAAGTCAACTAATAGAGGATTTAAAACGATTAACCATGCAGTTGCAACTTATGAACAAATTAAAAAAGGACCGAGCTGTTTTTACCCTAAACAGGAAGTTGATTGTGATGGAATACATACTAAACCTCTAAAATTGCAAGAGATTATGTAGTGAAATTATATACGATGCAGTGATTTATATAATTTCAATGTAACCTATTTTTTTTCTCAAAAAACTTGATTTTTTGAAAATTCAGTAGGTTCTGCATAGTTTCAACTAGATAGAGCAATGTTTTAGAAAGAATTCATCTAGTAAATTAATTAATAGGTCAAAGTATATCAAAACTTATCGTGTTTTGAAGTGTTTTTTGAAACAATTTTGTTTTCTTTGATAAAAAGTTTTACCATTGACTTATCATGAACCAAAAAACATAATATAATACCTTCATTCTACAATTCATACGTAATATACCATTCATATTTACCAGTTGGGTAAAGCGCACCAAAATTTTTGCGAATAAACTAGACATTTTCATACAAAATCCAAGGAAATAACGTTTCCTCTTACCATCGCACAGACCATGAAACCTTACCAAATCTATTCCCAATCTTAGTACATTGGCAAGTTTATTCCCTAGTTTAATACATAGGGTGCGGATCGGATACTTTATAGCCTATGTTAATCTATAGGAGTCCGCACCACCTCCCCTCCCCGCCCTGGCTGAACTGCCCCCATATATACTACTTCTCTACTACCCAGGAGCCTGCTTTATAGACTAAAACGAACCCCCAAAAGCAAAAAGTACACCGGTTTGGAAGAATATTAACCTTTTCAAGCGTATTCCATATTGAAGTTTAAAGAACAAACTCCAGAAACAAATCAAAGTAATTAACAACCCTAATTATTTCATAGTTTTTTTCAGTTCTTAGAACTGGTCGAAATTGAACTACAAAATTTTGATTTTTTGATGACTGATTCGTTACTATTCATTTATTCAATATAAAGGTGCTCAAACATTACTAGATCAAAATTTTAAAATAACCGACATCAGCAGCTAACCAAATAAAAGTATGAATCCCAAATTGACAATGTTATTAAGTCAGAGCAATATTTAGAAAAAAAATTGGCAAACGCCTATTAATTTTTTTCTCAAACTTGCTGAAAAGTAATGAGATTGAACCTTTTTATAACTGGCAAAAAAAACTCTCACGCAATGGATAACATTTACGCTTAACTATACCGCGCTGATGTACATCCTCGAAGCTTTATTTCGATCTCCCTGGAGCCTTGTGATAACAAATCTTAGTATGGTCACACATCTGTGACCGGTCGAGCGGGCAGCTCGAATTTTTCCCAATGGCTGGTTACATTTGGGACTTTTGGCGCAAATATTAGTCTGCACATCGCAAATTCGATCAGCGGCAGCCGGAAAACGGTATGCGTCGCAACTTTCAGAACCTTTTTTTGTACGACCGGAGGCCTCAAATCGAGGAAAAAATCTGCAGTGATTTCAATTGAATGATTTAAAGCCGATAGTAATGCTTTGTGCTTTTAGCCTTATGCTGTGTTCTGATGATGCTTAGTTATGATGGGTTTTGGCGTTTGAATTTTCCAAACAATTTTCAATAAAACTCATACACTAATGAGCAGAGTCCAAAATCTCATGAATTTTGCATGAATTTCAACATGAAAAATTTTGCATATTAGTTGTCCAAAAATGGTCGACTTGGCGCTGTCGAACCTCCAAATCATAACACATTTGCGGCTAAAACTTGAATGTCTCAATGGTTTTCAGATGATTTTAAAAAATATTTTGAAAACTGGCTAGTCAATTATTACGATGCGTAATTGTGCACTGGATAGGCGCACAATTTGGTGTCGGAACATTAGTTTTGTTGCGGATACTGCAACGAGCGAATATAGGTAGTTCTTCTGGATTCCGCAAATGCATGCGGATTCCATTTACAATTTGCGGAGTCCGCTTACAGTTTGCGGATTCCGTATACAGTTAGGGATTCCACGACAGCTTGAATTTTTTGAGCACATATTTCATTATTTGTTTGTTGAATCCACAAACTGTTCCGGCATCCGCAATTTTTGTCGCAGATTCACAAATTTTGTTGCGGATTCAGCAAAAATGTCTGTTTTGGAGCAATTTTGAGCAATAGTGTTTTAGCTATTTGTCAGTGGAATCCAAAACAGCAAAGATGTTTGACAAGATTGCTCGTATATCAGGGCAAAGCCCTGAATGTTCCGACTGTCCCTTAATTCATATCGAGTAGTTTTTGGGGAAAAAATGTTGAAAAACTAAAAATTTTGGACAATATCAAAGTGTGAAATGGTGAGACGTACGAAATTAATACAACCAATCTGATTAGCTAGCCTCAATTCAATTTGGAACGATTTTGTTTTTCGGGATAATTCGCCTCGTATTAAAAACTCGCGTTATGCTGTATCAGCAATATGAAAATATTTTCTAAAACGCGCATAATTTAGTCCAGAATATGGCTAATTAGGCGATTTTCAAACCCCCAAAACTTTAACAAAAAATAATCGGAGGTAAAATATCTTTTAAGATTTGAACACAAGAAGTCTATATCTTCAATGGGGTTTAAAAAACATTTGTCGAAAACTATTATTTCGATCGACGAAAATTGACTGAATGAAAAAACCACACCGAGCATAAATATTCCGTTTTCTTCGAAAGTTGGAACAAAAATAGCAATGTTACGGGTTCTACAACATTTTGTTTATCGCCTGTTGAGGAATCCTTGTAAAATTGACAAAATTCAAAGTTTGGCCTCGTAATGAAAAATAAATTTTTGCGACGAAGAAAACCATCTCGTTCACGAAAATTCCGTCACGTTACACAATCACTCTGTCAAAAAAAAATCAAGAATTCATCCTGTTTTTGGTAAAAGCATAGGAGCAAAGAGAGATTTCCAATAGTTTGAATTAAAGAAATTTGCTAAAGTAAAGACAAGAGGATTTATTTCGTTTTAATCCTAATATAAATTACAATCAAACACGACTGGTATCAGAGCAAATTCATGAATTGCTTAAAGTTTTGTATATTAACTAGAAAAGTTTAAATTTAAAAATTATTGGAGTGTTACAGTATTTTAATATGTCCAATTGACTGGCTTCAAAATAGTCTGGAATGACTTTGGGCGCCTTGATAGCGCATATAAACAATAATATCTTGATAGCGCATATAATCCAGAGATTTTAATAACTACCCTTTAGGTAATATCAATTGATATCTCGATTAGGGTATCAAAATGATTTATTGAAAATTATGATTTTGACCGCCGAATTTGGTCTGAACGAAAAATCAACTCAAGTATAAACATTCCGTTACTTTCTTCGAAGGGTGGAACAAATAGGCCAAAGATGTATCTACATTACCAGCAACTTCTGATTATATCGTTTACAATTTCATGCAATTGAAATTAAAATTTAGGTGATTGTGTTGTAGTTTCTAGGTTGCTCAACTATTGGGGCCAACAACCCCTGCTCTGGTGAATCATTAACTTCAGCCGTAGTCACGCTGTCTGGGCCTGTTTCCGCCTTGTCATAAATATCTCTCACACACTGCTGAACTTTCGGGATATTGTGTTGGAATTGGACGTCATCAAACATTTCATAGCAGAGCAATTCCGAAATGACAGGGCGCAACCATCCATTAACAGGCGAAAATCCCTGCTGTGCGATTATTGGTATGATAGGTTTGCCAAGGACAGAACTGTATGACGCCTCAGCCCTGCAGCTATGACTCACCCGGTACTCTTCTGACAGACAAAGAATGACTGCGTAGGACGTTTCAACCGCTTTGGCCATTTTTTCGCTCAATGATAACTATATTCAAATTTATGTGCAACACATAAGGCTTATGTATTTTTTCAATCTAAGCTATTTAAAATAATTGAGCATGAGACTTATCAGCTATCTTATAAAGTGTCTACGACGGAATTCTAGAATTTCTTAAAAAAATTCTGCTCTAAGATTGTTAATAGAGAATGACTTTTCTAAATTAAAAAATTGTAAAATACGAACTTTTCCTACAAATTTTCAATGGTTCCTTTTTGTTCCGACTTTCGATACGAAAGTAACGGAATATTTGTGCTCGGGGAGGGTTTTTTTTTCTTCAGACAAATTTGGACTTTTTAACTAGCCATTTTTGACGGAATTTTTTTTAATCATTCGAAATGTGTTGTTGTCTTTAGCTCAAATTTGAAAAGATATTTCACCTGTGATCATTTTTCGTGAAGTTATGAGGGTTTAAAGATTGCCATTTTGGCCAATTTGGGACAATAAACGCGCGGTATATTTCGCGCTATAACGCGTAAGCGGAGAGTTAATCTGTCTTAGAAATCGTTCCTAATTGGTTGAAAGAAGATTAATTGCCATAATTGAATTGTTACAAGGAGCGAAATCTATTGTTTTGTACTTTATATGGCGTGTGGGGGTATGATTTAAATAAAAAATATCAAATTTTAGAAAAAAAAATTTCATTTTTTTTTATTTTTTAATGTTATTACTGCTCCATAAACCTAAATAGGCAGTCGGAACATTCAGGGCTTTGCCCTGATACGAGCAGTCTTGTATGCTTTTTGTCTGAGCAAATTGCCACTTAAGCGATTTTTTCGTGTGTTTCGGTTTTTATTCTTTTTTTTTTCAAAACGCAAAGTCAAGCCAAACCGATAATTATCGAAATGGGCCAAAAATATAAATCAAATTAATACAAAATGTCTTTAGTTATTTAATTCAGTCCTAAGTTGATGGAAATTTTAGGATATTAAAAACTTTCTCAGTATTGAGAAGAACCGCCTCGAAATTTTCGGTTTCTAGTACAATTTTGAGATATTTTTGATAAGCATTATTATAGGTTTAATGTGTTATAATTTATCAAAAAGATTTCTTTGGGTAAAAAAAAAACAGTCCTTGAAACTTTGTTCACCACTTTTTTGGCAATAAAAGATTACGACTAAGAGTCGAATACGACTAACGTACAAACCAGGGGCGGATCTAGGATTTTCTCGAGGGGGGGGGGGGGTGCGGATTTTCACAATCTTCTTTTTTAGGTCGAGACCAAATTGACTTTCCAAGCTCTTCTAAAGCAGTAGAAAGACCTTGTTTAGGTAAAATTTTCTGCGGTGCAGGCAAACTTTTGTAACGAATAACATACAAAAAAAATAAACGCACTGATTACAATAAGTAACTAGAAATTATTTGGTTCAACTTTTTGTGCTGTTTCAGACTTTTACCTAGTTCTTCGAAAGTTGTCTACGCCAAAATCAAAACGCCGAATTAGGCTCAATAGTTTGTAACAAAGTTTTTTCATACTGTTTAAATAACAAAAAAATTCATTTTTTTTTGCAATGAGGTATTCTAATTATTATGGTTCTTCTATAAATTTTCGAGTTGGTATTACAAAAACAATATAATTTTATTTTAAAAAAAAATCGCTGGATGCAGTGGCCATGATTGCGCAATGTCAAACTTGTGAACGTTGGTTGGTCTATAAACGTCAAAAGCTGTTCATTTTTACAAATACGAAAAACCAAAACTTTTTGATAAGCATACAAATATTAAATTATTTCTGTTATTCGCAAAATAGTTATTGACCGAAAAATGATCAATTTAAATCACGCAAACGCACGTACCTCAAGCAGTTTCATCTACAATTTGAAAAATCATTTGCTAATATTATAGGTCAAGCAAATTACTGACTGTATTTTCATTTGTTAAGCTAACAGAACCTATAAAAATCTCTGAGCAAATCAATAACATATTTTGTACAGATCTGCGTTGTTATAGAACTTGTATGACATATTTAGCTATCTCAAAACTTTTTCTGACAAGCACAAAGTTGTTGAAACCGATGGCCTTAAGTTAGTCTACAAGGACAATTTTATTGGCGAGCCTTAAAGTTATCTATTAGTTACACAGACTTTCATAAACTAGTCAACTTTCACTATCTCAAAACGGTCGCAAAAACAGTAGGGCGAGTTTGAATGATCAATTCAATACATGGATTACTTAGGAAAAAACCAGTTGAACGGTAGACAAAATCTACTGACTGCTGCGAATATTTGGAATAATGATTGACAACAAGTGATTAATTAAGTTGCATGTTCAAAGAAGGCTAGTTTCCATGAGTGTTGTCACTAAGGTTTGAAATTGTTTCCAATCACTTGCTTATTATGTTATACTTTATGTCTGTAAAACTTGAGGAATCAGTATGGTGTAATTGTTCCGACTTTCGAAGAAAACGAAATATGTATGCTCGGTGTGGTTTTTTATCCAGTCAATTTTCACCGATCGAAATAAAAATTTTTTTATACCCCATTGAAGACGTTGAATTCCTTAGGTCAAATGTAAAAAGATATTTCAACTCCAAATTTTGTTTGTAAAGTTCTGGGGGTTCGAAAATTGCCAAACTTGTCATGCTCTTGACTAAATTATGCGCGCTTTGAAGAGTTTATTCATAATACTGAGAGCATAACACGAAATAATTATGCTTGGCGAATTATGCCGCACAACAAAATCGATCTAAATTGAATTGAAGCTAGCTAATCAGATCGATTTGATTAATTTCGCACGTCTTAACATTTCACACTTCGATATTGTCCAAAATTTATAGATTTTCAATATTTTTTTGTCCTAAAAACTATTCGATATGAATTAAGGGACAGACGGAACATTCAGGGCTTTGCCCTAATATAGCAGTCTTGTTAACTATTAAAATTTTACGGAAGCCCTTTGACGGATTTTGGAATAAGAAAGAAATCAAAGACTAACTTATTCAATCAAAAAAAGGTTTAAAACTATTTGCAAATAAAACGCTTTAAGAACGCTGTAAAAGTAGCTTTAGGTGGTTACCAATAACGAAATAATGAAAAATGAAGCGAAGATGGTTCTGAAGTAGAGACAAGACTGCTCGTAACAGGGCAAAGACTTGAATGTTCCGACTGCCTTTTAAGGTCTTTTGAGCAGTAATAACATGGAAATATCAAATGTAATAAAACAAAATTAAATTTTTTTTAAAGAAATTTAATTTTTTTTTGTATAAACAAATCCTATTATAATTTTTTGTGCTCCTATTAACAAATGGAATCAATAATAGCTGTTGTGAGCATATAAATTTTGAAGGAAAAAAACATAGACTTTTGAGTCATAATGAATAGCTTACAATCACAAAAAAAATTGAAAACTTTGTTCTCTTTTTTTAAGGAAATTTTTTTACCAAAACATTGTACGGGTAATGAATTCACACTTCAAAGTCTCTTATAAGCATAGCAATGCACCGTTAACTTCATTTGGTTTTAAAGCTTTCAGTTTTAGCAACAAATTTCTGATTTGGAACGAGTTCTGAGACGGATTAAATTTTTGCTCTTCAATATATCGCGCGGTAATTGTCCCAAATTGGCCAAAATAGCAATCTTTAAACCCTTATTAATTTACAATAAAAGATCACAGGTGAAATATTTTTTAAATTTTAAGCTCAGGACAACAATAGCTTTTGAATGCTATAAAAGAATTCCGTCAAAAATGGCTAGCAAAAAATTGAAATTTGTCTGAAGAATAAAAAACCCACCCCGAGCACAAATATTCCGTTACTTTTTCTGCAGTACAGGAAAAAAAAAGTCGGAACAGGAACCTTTTCTGGAACATATTAGATTGACACCAGGAAAAAAATTTTCAAAAATTTTTGTCCTTTTTGTCTGTTGTGAGCATATAAATTTTGAAGGAAAAAAACATAGACTTTTCAGTCATAATGAATAGCTTACAATCACAAAAAAAATTGAAAACTTTGTTCTCTTTTTTTTAAGGAAATTTTTTTACCAAAACATTGTACGGGTAATGAATTCACACTTCATAGTCTCTTATAAGCTTAGCAATGCACCGTTAACTTCATTCGGTTTTAAAGCTTTCAGTTTTAGCAACAAATTTCTGATTTACTAGTCTAGTTTTTTTGGTGAGATGAACTAAAAAACTGAAAAATGTTCAACAAAAAAAGCTTCTAAGATGTTCGAAACTCTAATTTCTGAAACTAGCTTTGGCTAATGCAACTTTCTCCGACCTTTTTTGTAGCAATGGCAGTTGCGATTATTATTTCTAAGTTTTCCTGTTTTAAAATCTTACTATGGAAATCGTAGCTGAAAGTTTTATACACTGAAAGAAAATAAATAAGTTTTTGTAAAAAGAGGAACAAAAACCCACCTGCACGCGATCCTCGTCTATCCAGACGTTGAATCCAGAATGATTCTGGAAAAAGTCGCGAAGTTTGAAGGCAGTTTCTTGCTGCAACCACGAGTAGCTTATCATGATGTGTTTAGCACCAATAGTTTGAGGCATCGTTTGGTTGCTAAAATTAGTCATAACGCATCATTTATTCATGACAACAATTTAGAAGGGGTGGAAGGTGGAATCACTCTTTGACGATGGACCAAATGGGCGAAAATATAAATCAGCCAATCAAATATCAGTATTCAAAAGTTTGAAAGAAAGCGTGAAAATCTCAAAGAAAGTAAGCTTTTCCAGGGACTTGATATAAAACGGCAGATATGTTCTGCAAAGTTTTCAAATTGTCACAATAGCAATTGATTCAATTTAATAATTGAATTTCGACTGTTTGTCCCGGGTCGAGGTTGTGGTTTTATGATAGGACGGTCGCAACCAAATTTTGGTATTTTCAGACTTTGTGGACCGAGGCAATGTGTCCGCGACCGGCGCGACTGAAGGAAAGTTAACCTCGACCAGCGCGACTGAAGGAAAGTTAGTCGCGGCATGGTCGAAAAATTAGTCGCGGCGGTCAAAAAATCAGTCGCGGTGGTCAAAAAATTAGTCGGTCGGTCCTTTGTCTTTGAATTTTTTTCCAATTTGGCCCTTCGCGCATGAGAAAAGCCCCCGGGGTAAAAATAACGCGCAAAATGGCAGAAGTTTTTAATTTTTTTTTAAAAATGAAACGTAAATTTTCAAAGAAATGTTTCAAAAACTCAAAAAAAATTCTATTCAGTGATCCGCCAAAAAATCTACTGAAAAAAGACAGTTGAAATGTGTCAAAGCATTCAAAATAATGGAACCTGATCTAAACTTAACCCAGTACCACATTGTAACGCTTATTACGCTTACACAACACTTTATGAACACTGGATAGCCAAATTCGGACTACCAGAAATTTTAGTTACAGACAACGGTACGGAATTCATAAATAATTAAATCATCACACTATGTCATTTATATAACATCAAACACAAACCACGTACATCTCACGCATCTTGGACAAACGGCTTAGTCGAAGGTATGAACCGTTCACTACAAGAATATCTTAGATGTATCATCAATGGAAATGATACAAGATACACCGAATGGTCAGCAGATGTAAAACTATTTCCCTTAGCATATAATTCACAAATCACGACAACTCTAGGAATGTCACCATATGAAATGGTTTTTAATCAAAAGCCACGCAAACCAATTATGTTTACAGCAAACTCTCATAAAAATGCACAAAGTCATTGTCAACCGAATAAGGACTCAATTTGTTATAACCTACCTTTACACACACACGATGAAGATCATTTTCATCATCCACAAATTCTTAAATTAGCCTCCGGTACACACACCGAATGGATTTTAAACAGAGACAAAAAACACAATGAAATTTACCAAAAAGTAACAAAAAAGTTGTTACAAAGGCAAAACATTAATGAACAAATAAATTCACGCTTTACACCAGCCTCCGATTTAAAAATTGGAACATTTGTTTTAATACCCAATTTTAACACTCAAAAAGGAATTTCTAAAAAATTACAACCCCTTCGTAAAGGACCATACCAAATAATTGCCAAACCCACTGATGTCACATATAAAATCACCGACTCAGACCAAAAAGAAATTGTTCAACTTCAAAACAACCTATTACCTTATTACCCAAAAGAATACGCACTACGCGAACTAACTCAATTATATTCTTTCACAGGTTTAAAAGTTATTCAAAATAACCCACATACGGAAAATAAAACAAAGGAACAACATGACATTCACCTCGAAAACCAAAATAAAAAATCAACAAAAACGAAAAACAATACAAAAAAGCTAGATCAAAATATACCTCAAAAAGAAAGAAAAAATAGAAAAATGACAGAAAAAATAATACCCCAAGAACAAATCGACAAATCAGAACATAGAGAGTCATCACGACTTAGAAATCAACCACGTAAAAACTATAAAACATTCATCCCACAATCTAAAATATTAAAGAAAGTCGAATTTCAAAAACAGCTTTAATTTTATATTTCATAATCTTTGCACCTCTGAAATATTTTGAGCTTTCATTTTTCAAAATAACATACTGACAAACACGCAGCGACTCTAGTTCATAATTAGCCAATAGGATTCATCCAATCCGTCACCTTCTCTAACTCTAGCACAAATCAACTAGACGAACGATATTAAACTCCAGGCATATCTATAACTATAATTTTGCGACCTCCAGGTCAAAAACAAGCAAACCACTCCAATTTGACAACTAAAATAAATATCACCATAATATCATAACCCTCCCTTATCTAATAACCCAAAAATCAACAATATTTCCCCAACTCAGACCTCAAATACCCCCCAAAACAAATATGTTAAATTAGCCTAAAGTAAAAGAACGACCATTTTAATTAGCCTAAAGTATAAAAATCTCAAAAATACCCCAGATCATTTGACAAATAAAAATAAAGAAAAAGAAGACCTCCCGATCACCATAAAATTTGCCCCCAACAATTTTTCACAAAACTCAACCCACTTGTCAAAAAACCAATAAATAATTCGACCAAACTTGAAAATTGCCTCAAAAAACAACAAATATTCGATCGAGAAGCCATTTCTTAAATGCTCTTCTCTCGACCAGTCAACATAATTCTTAACATTCTCATAAACTTTTTAACGATATTTAAACTTTTAATCATATTTTTTTTGATACCTTTGAATCTTTTGTAATAATCTTAATCATTTTTTGCAATATTTTTTTAATTTTCTATTCCATATTTGAACTATACCTCCAACTTTCAAAAGCTATTGACTATATCCACAGGTACGATTCACAAAACTTATCTAAATGATACGAACCATTTTTAATAGAACAGATATTTTTTTACTATTTGTAATTTTTATAACATTTCTATCATCCCTCATCTTGACAATATGCAAATGTATAAAGAAAGCAATCATCACATTCGCCCTAGCAACAATCCTCCTCATTCTTTTTCTAGAAGAATACTATAATAAACATAAATTTTTTCACTGAAAGAATAAATAAAAAACCATCAAAAATTGCTAACCAACAATCACACAGTCAGTCTTCACCGACATCATCCCAAGATAACCCAACACCACCTTCAACTACCCAAAACCCCCAAACATCTACACGAATTTCCTTTCAAGATAACCCATATACCTTTGAAGAACGACACGCTCGCTTATCTGAACCACTAGAACCAGTTCAACGACAAGCACCTCTAAGTGAACCAACATATAACTTATACCCAACACTACCACAAGAATTAAGTAGAATACGAAATCCCAGTCAAAACCAAAATACAGTCAAAATAAATAGACAAATTATACATCCTCGACGAAACAGAAATTTCAAACTCCCCGAGTTCATTTTGATATACCTCAATCCCCATCACAAAGCACTCCAGAAAACCCCATTGGTATATTACCAGAAACCCCTACGCTTCTTTCACAACGTAGCACCTCAAGCCTACCCTCAGATTACTTAGGTTCAACACCAACATCTGAACAAATACGTGAAAATCCCTTTAACCCCACAAACCAAACATCACGACTACCATATTGGACAACACATTCATTCACACAAGGTGAACCAAATTTAATCAATGATCCAATAGATATTTCTACGGATACAACAACATCCTCATCACTACCAGGAACATTATCAATACCATCAACACCATCAATAAGCCAGATTTCACCAACGCCTTTTAACTTAAATTTCCCAAATAACCTCGACGCTAGATATCGAGAACAATCATCAACAAATATTCCTTTAAGACTAGACTGGAATACATTCACAGCACCTCCACCATTATTTGGACAACACCCAAAAAACAACCGACTCCACAACTGGGCACTCAATAGACTACAATATAGACAAGACATCCACGAAGACATTCGTGATCATAACATCCAAATACTCCAACAAAATAGTCTACAATTAAAATTTGAAATCACGGTTAAACTAAACAGCATTACTCAACATCCCTACCCATTAAACCCACCAAATATAACAGCTCAATCACTACCACCACCATTTATAACAACTGAAGTAATATACAAATACGACAGATATACCAAAAAGACAATTGGTTACATCACATTTTATAACCCATACTCAGGATTATCATACACATGTATATTCTAAAAATATTAATTTTTCTCCAACTCTTTTTTCTAGTAATCTCCAATCAGAACATAAACCCTTCCCCCCGCACAGGCCCCCAAGATTTATTAGTAACACATTACGATTGTGAAGAAAATGAACAAAAAAACACTACACAAATATGCAATAAATCAGGTATCCCAATGCGAAACAGAACCACAAGCTATAGAAACTACAAATGTAATAGCGACACTTTATTCAAAAGCCCGAGCAACAACAGTTATAGGATATAAATTCACAGCAACATTTTCTGAAAAGAAAGTACATTGTTCACAAGTCTCAAATGGAAATAAAAACCGACTTGACCACGAATCATTCTACCAGAGTAATATCGAACGACTTTTACATCTCAATCCCGAAGATTATAAAAACGAGTTACTCCGACTAAATATCACAAGAAATAAAAACGCAGATAGAAAGTTAGTATATTTCTAAGTTTTTTCAGATTCTGTACATCAAGCAGAACTTGAAAGATATCAAGGACATATAAAATTAGATGAAAAATACCCATACAACGGCGCACACGGAAGATTAACTTATGACATACACGATAAACACTGGATACCACATATTGGTATAAATAACCCATCAAACTGCAAAGCAGACTCAAAAAATAAAGGATATCAAGAAATAATGTTTTTCGATTGGAAAATACAACTCGAAAAAATACAACTCACACGCGATTTATCTGACAACACAATGATCTATCAAGGAATTAGATTACCTTGTAAAAACGATCAAGGCTATTGTGACCCTACAACTCGAACACAAGCAACAATTGTTTGGTTCCCCGAAGACACATGTACAACATTTCAAGTAGCAAAAATACACGCTCGTATGATAAAATTTCACGAAAAATATTTTATACAATCAATTCCATATGAACAAGTAAATCCATCACGAAAACA